AGCCATTCTAGCGCTCGACCTCGAGAAGGCATTCGACCGGGTCAAGCACTCTCATATCCTCGACTCGATTCGCGAAGCAGGATTAGGTACGCGTTTCTACAACTATGCTAGATCGTTTCTGCGCGACAGGACGGCTACAATCCAACTCGGCTCGATGGGCTCAAAGAAATTCAACCGGGGACGAGAGGCACACCCCAAGGGGCGCCGTGATCTCTCCGTTCCTGTTCAACCTCTCCGTGCGCGCTCTGTCGCAACAACTCTCACAGATCGACGGCATCAGTCACGCCTTCTACGCAGACGACATCACCGTCTGATGTGCTAGCGGCAGTGATGGCCTTATCAAGGAGCGACTGCAAGACGCGGTAAACATGATACAAATATTCTTACGGCAGGGCGGTCTTTCGCTATCAGCAGAAAAATCAGAATTACTTCTATACCGCCCGAAACACAAGGCGCGCAGAGACGCATACGTGGGGATCAATGTCCTGACGGCGGATGGTACACCCATCCCCACGGCGGACCAAGTTCGCATACTAGGCATGGTGATTCAGGCCAACGGCCATAATGACGTCAATATTTCTCATATTTCCAGCAAGGGCCGTAGCAATGGCTAAATTAATTAACAGAGTAGCTAACAGGCGTTGGTGGACTAACTGAGGAGAATCTCCGCAGACTGTTTCACGCTTTCCTCATGAGCCACATCAACTATGTGGCTCCCGCCCACCTGTGGCAAAAAGGAGACATACGCCGTCTCGACGTGATCATCCGCCGGTCCGTTAAACAGGTGCTCGGGTTACCTGGCAGCACCCATACGGTCAAGCTCAATGAGCTAGGCATTCATAACACATTCAGTGAAATCGTAGAAGCTCAAAAAGTATCTCGAATTGTAAGGCTGTCTTCCATTGCAGCTGGGCGACGGTTACTAGCCCACCTTGGGCTCAAATCTCCCGTATCCCAAGAATGTCCGTAGCAGCTCTCCGAAGACCTGCGCGCAAAATTAACAGTGTGGTCGATACCCCGTAACATGCATCCCACACATAACGTTGGTAGACGTCAGGCACGGGCGCGAGCCTACTCAGTACCGCAGCCGCTTGGAGGATAACGTGGCCTTCGTAGACGCAGCGAAGTACAGCTCTACGGACCACTTTGTCTCGGTGGCTACAACACTCAAAGGCGAACACTTGTCGTCTGTGACTTTAATAACTTCAAACGCTGATCGCGCTGAGTAGGTCGCTGTGGCACTAGCTCTCGCTGCCACCGATCGCACCGCCATTTACACGGATTCGCGCGCAGCCGCACGGGCCTTCATGACGGGCTCAGTTTGTCGGGAAGCCGCGCGCGTTCTCTCTGCTGCCAATTGGCCAGGCAAAAAGCACATAATCTGGTTCCCGGCACACGCTGGCCGACACGTACACAGAACCATCCTTAATGCCAACGAGTTGGCTCACTCCCGGGCGCGAGGTCTCACATTCCACGCCGGGGAGAACCTCTCGAAGGCTGAGGACGTCACTTGTTTCTTCAGAGACCCGTTGCTAACTTTTAATGAAATTTGCAAACACTACCAGTTGGAGAGGCGGAAATACCCACTCCCACACCCACACTTAACAAGACCTCAGTCCATAACTCTACGACTCTTACAGACGGAGGCGTATGCATCGCCTCTAACTTGCTCTAAATACATAGCTGGCATAGATCCGGGACGCCCACGCTGTGGTCATCCCAAATGTACTGTCCAACACATGCTGTGGCAATGCCCTGCGTTGCGCGAGAGCAGCGAGTCTTCCTCTACGGAGGCGGACTGGACCTGTCTCCTCACAAGCCATGACAAAGGAGACCAGCTTAGGGCCATCCAGAGGGCCCACGACATAGCCGTGGAGTTTAACCTACCCGTCCAGTCGTGGGAGTGGCCCACCGATGTTGCCCCCTAAGGGGGATTGAGCACCGCCTCCGGATATTAATAAAGTTCTTTGCCTGCCTGCCTGCCTGCCTGCCTGCCTGCCTGCCTGCCTGCCTGCCTGCCTGCCTGCCTGCCTGCCTGATTGCCTGCCTGCCTGATTGCGGTAAGACAAAGCTGAAGACTCTCATGTTGTTGGAGATAAGCAAGCTTAATTCTGCACCACATTTCATCCATTCAATCATACATCCGAATGTAGCACGAAATACTGCTCGGAACATTACAGAGAAGCCTGATGTAAAGTTGGTGAGCAGTGAATTTGATGAGAGCCAATGCGCTGACAATGTGCCCCACTTTGGTGGTTTAGTGGTTATTATAAGGTACTCGGCTGCTGACCCGAAAGCTCCCGGATCAAGACCCGAAAGCGGTGGCTGCATTTTTGGTGGAGGTGAAAATGCTGAAGGCCTGTGTGGTCAGATGTACGTGCACGTTAGGGAACCCCAGGTGGTCAATATTTGTGGAGCACTCCACTACGGCATCTCTTATAATAACATGGTGCTTTGGGGACAAAAACCCCACACATCAAATTAAATAAAATGCTATCACCCTTTCAAAACGTTGGCTCCCCTGGTGCGCATTGTTCAACCTCGTTCACGTTCTATTCGTAACACTGGCCCCTTCGTATTTCCTAGTTTTAAAGATATTTTCATCAATTATAAACTTCAAAGAAGGCTTGTTTTGTAGATAACTAAAATGCATAAAAGCAGACATTTTTCGGCAATGTACAACTGTTGTCTATAAAGTTCCGGCGCATTTGTTTAGTGAAATTCACTGGGCAAACAGATGCTTAGAATCTTCATTTTGTGCGTGACGAGTTTGATAGCTTTATGGTGCTTATAACGACTGAAATGATCGACATGTGAATATGTACGGTTAGCGGGTGTTCTGTACTTCGTGTCATTGCTAAAGACAGATAATGGCTATCAGGAGCCGCTGATACAGAATTGACCGACAACAGCACAAAAAGAGAGACTGGTAAAAAAAAATTAGGAAGCGTAAGTCAACTCATCACAAAGTCATTCAACTTGAAGATAAGCAACACAATAGGAATCTAATGCACTCAATCACACTGCTAATCGCGAAAAGAATACATGGTCTCCGAGCGACACCCCCTTTTGGGCACGGCCATTTGTGCAAATATAGTGATTGTTTGGGTTTTCGTTTGATTGAGCGAGGTGTAGATATTGTTGTAGGGTAGGCAACACCACGTCTGTGTTGGCTACAGGCCGACTCTAAATGAGTGAGTGAGTGATTGAGTGAGTGAGTGAGTGAGTGAGTGAGTGAGTGAGTGAGTGAGTGAGTGAGTGAGTGAGTGAGTGAGTGAGTGAGTGAGCGAGCGAGCAAGCGAGAGAGTTAGTGAGCGTTCTTTTGTATGTTCGAGCTTTTGGGAACAAACTAGCAAGCACTGACCAATTGTTAAAATAAAAAAAGACGTTTCGGTTCCATTACGGAGGCCTTTTCGGAAACAAGCTATGTAAACGGGGCCCCTGTAGTTAGACCGAGCTGTATTACTCATTTTAATAATTGTTCGGCCCTTTCGCCAACCATTTTTTGCCATGGATCTTTCCGTTCAAACAGTTTTTTGTGAAACCCTGGATTTCATTTCGCGGTGCAAGCTGGTTATTCATGAAAATGAGCACCCACCTCACACTCCTGATTGCTGCAGAGTTGGACTGATGGCCTCGTACTCTTTACCAGTCGTACCTAGTTTCGAGGCTACGGTATTGCATATGATCTACCTTGTGCTGTTGAATGGCCTTGCGTGGGTTCTCTTATAGGCGCTGTAGTCTCGCTGTATTCCCAGACCATTAGACACATGTTTCATAGCATGTTGCAGAATTTGCAGCCAGGTGCATAAATCCTGGGACACAGTACTGAAAGAGGTGTAGGTAATCGTGTGTTTGACGTCGGCGTAGTGTCACGGATACTGCTATGGTGCGTGGTGTTTGGTATTCCCGCCAGAATTTATTCTTGCGGTTTTTTTTTATATAACGTAAGTGCAAGAAAAAAATGTCAAAACATACGCCACTTTGGACAAGTGATAGTCTATACGCAGGTATGTTTTAGCTTTTTCTTTAACTTGCCGAAACTTTGCTTCAACGATCACTCATTTTCAGTGAAGCTAATGACGATCAAAGTATTAACGTTAAAATACAGACGCTGTTGCCCACAACCACATGTTTAGCAAGTAACGTGAGCGCGTAATAACGCAGCTTTACTCTTTTGTCCAATTTACAGTAAAATACGTGACACGTCATTTACGCCTCTTTTGGTTATATGCTTTCCTCTACTAGTAAAATGGGAACCAAAACTGAAAGAAAAAAGTTTCATTTTATTTAAAACAACCCAGTATGAGACGCAGTCGTCCAGCACAGGAAGGAGTGTTCCTGGATCTGAAGCACGGGCTGAAAAACTTGTCCATACAACAATCATAATAAAACTGTTCGTCCATTCATACTTTCATATTCTCCTCATCTTCATAATTGACTAGACAATAGGATATGTACGTAGATTGCCGATATTTCATACTTACATAATTATTAACTGGCACAGAAAAAATAACAAGTGTGCTTATGAAAACATCTTTACGCATTTCATTGAGTCCGAAATATCACAATTGCCCATGGGCAGTATATTCTTCGGGACGCATCGAAACAAACAAGAAGCAACCACGGAGGAATATTGAATGGTTCAACGCAAGTGTATCACAAATGTGGGTGGCCAGCATTTTTTGTGGAGTCCGAAACACTTTGCAGATGTTTACCAAAGAGAGAGGAAACACGTCCTTTCTGGATGGTTGCGAAGTTGGCCGAAAGCTGTTGCACATAAGGTGTGGTGCAAATGATGTCAGAGTGTTGGACAAAGGCTAACGCTTGCTAACCTTGCTTCCTGCACAGTGACTTTTTCGGGGCACTTGCCATGCTGTGAGAAACCCTTTTAGAAACCTTATTTCAGTAGTGAGAGGGGAAAATAGTCTTTTTTAACTACTGCACGGCTGCTCGAAGCCTGTTGACAAAGGCTGCTGCTAAAATGATATCGAATTGTTGCACAAAGACTGCTGCACAAAGGCTGTTGCACAAATGAAGTTTTACGGTCGTACAAAGGCTGACGCATGCTGACATCGCTGCCTCCGCACTGCATTTCTTGGGTGTACCCACCATTATTTAGTGCACGGTGCACTTACTGTGCTGGCAGGAACTGGCCTACAAACTTTCTTTAACGGAGAAATATACCACGTTTTGTGTGCTTTTCACGGTCACAGAAAGAATGCTGCACACAAATGTTGGACTGTTCCACAAAAGCTCCCATTGCTGTCCACACCCTTGAACAGGCGAAAGGAGGATTTATGAAGATGTGCGCAGGTTTCATCAAAGCACAGATACTGTAATCTTATTCGGGTGAATATGTGTCGAGCCCCTCAAGCTCAGCCAAGAACGCAGTAAGATCTTCCATACTAAAGCCTTCGTCGTCGGGCGAAAGCTTTGTTGTCTCTCTTCTTTCCTCCCGCAGCTCAGAAAGTCGAGCTTTCAGCATGGACCAACTAGTCTGCGAAGTATTGTTGTACGTGTGTTCGCTGTCCTGCTCGGATGATTCCTCTGTTTCGGCCGACGATTCACTGCCTCCACCACAGCCAGCCACGTAGTGCGCCGGAAGGTCAGCGTGTAGGACGTTCTCTCTGCACCTCGGACACGCCACGGTGTGAAAAGGTGCACTGCTCTTCGCAGTGTGCGAGGACTTCTTGCAGAGTGCCAACATACTCACAACCATTTTCTTGGTTCCAGCAGTACGCCTAGGAAACAAAAAGAAGGAACGATTAGCGACTAAATAATTGGACTGGCTCAAGACATTCAGTTGAATGAATAATGACGCTGTTCTTGTAAAATAGTAGCTGATAATCAAGATAAGCGTTCAGCGAACTGGGAGCGTCGGGTAATTCCCACAAAAAGCAAGGAGGCACACAACACGAGAACTAACTAACAACTGGCGATTATGAACTACCGAATAGCTCACCTTTTTGTCCTGTTGCAGCCAAGATAAGTCACCATTCAGCCATCCTAAACCAACTATAGCGGAATTTTCGTCCACGTTAGCTAATGTTAAAAGGCATCAAATCATTTTTAGCAAGCACAACGGAGCCCTAGAAGACACTAGTCATAATTATTCAACATTAGCGTGTCAGTTGTGCGCGCTAATGAGTGCTGGCACCACGCGCGCAAATACGGTCGCTGAAGTCATGTGACACAGTGGCACACTCTTTGGACAGCACTTCGCTTGTGGTCGTTGCATATTTCTTATTCTTTCTTGTGGTATATTGTGGGAACTTGTGTTTCAGGCACTGTCAACTTCAATAACTAATAATAATAAGAAGAAGAAGAAGAAGAAAAGAAGAAGAAGAATATCATAAAAGGTGTTATGTGCCAAAACCACAATATGATTATGAGGCGCACCGCAGTGAGAGCTCCGTAAATGTTTACCATGTAGTCTTTAGCGTGCACTGGCCTCTCAAATAACACCTGCTCTTAGCATTTCGCCGACATCCAAATGCGGCCATGGCAGCCAGGATCACACCGGCAACTTTCGGTTTGGCAGCTGAACACCATAATGGCCGTATCACGCAAGCGTACAAACATGACACCCAGTTACTATAAATCTTTTGATTACATTAGAAAACTTACTAAATTAATTCATAATTTCCTTAAAATTAGGCACCCCTGGCAGACATTAGCCCTTTTTCACTAACAGTGCGCAAACCTGAAGGTTCTAGCTATAGCTTAGTCAACACCTAGCTACGACTAACGAGTGTTGGTGATATGCTCGTACGCACGTTAGTTCGCCGCATGACTTCGTGAAGCGCTCTGTCACGCTGCACTCTTTTCGAGATCGGCCCACAATCCTTCAAGTTTTCTTTGTTTTTGTTAAAAAAATTGCACAATGGTTATTATAAGTATTATCATACCGCAATGAAATTGCAAAAAATAATCTTACCCCAATAAAAATTGCAAGTACACATACAACAGCCTGTAAGTGGTAAGTGTCCTTGGTTCTCGTTAGGCGGTGTACACGTTGGTAATACCCATAATCTGCGGCTATCCTCGTAGCCTGCATTTTTTTTTTCAACAGGGCCTTATTAAGTGTGAGGGCCACAGGACGGCTTCATGCTATCCCATAGTAGAGTACCTAATACTCTAATTCATGAACATCGTTTTCTAAACACACTGAACTGAAGAAGAAGAATGCTTTATTTTTTAATGGAATTGCTTACGGACAGCCTAGTGTTTTCCTCTAGTATAGTATATATATAGTGCTCGATATCATCAATCATTTTTCTGAAATACATGCGTATGCGCGGATTTAATTCACACACTTTATTCGACTCGTTACCTTGTCTTCACTATACTACTTCGTAAAGGGTCACTAAAAGAGAAAAATCATTTTTCACGCACCTGTAGTACTTTTTCACTATTCGAAAAATCTCAAGCTTGGCACGACGAAATGCTCAGCAAGTCGAAACACGGCTCAAAGAGAAAGTCCTTCCTATTTTGAACTTTGCGCACCAAAGGACACGACGTGATCATTTTTGCCGGCGTCTACTATGACCTACGCAGCATATAATACACAAAAAAATGAAGTGCACTGGTCTCTGAGGGTGCCATAGACTTAGCATAGCACCTTTCGAGAAATTTGTTGAGTCACTTTTGCCAAAATCCAAAAAATACAATACAAATCAGTGGCGTCACGTGAGGACATTTCCGGAGAAAAACTTAAAATGGAACATTACCTTGATTGTCTGCTTATTAACGAACTTAAGATTGTGCAATTTACAACAATAAAGCTCTGAGAGTGAAATTGATGAATCTAAACCCATGCAGTATTATTTTTGTAGCATCCCCCTACACCAAACTTATGAGAGCGTTGCGTTCTACAGAACGATGTTCATCGTAGACTGATGCGTGTGTGCCGCCGCTGACCATTGTTGTCAAGAAAATAAAAAACATAACTGAATGGGGGTGAAAACACGGTACTCACCCTGAAGCTATTCAACTTCGTCGCGGAAAGCCTAATCCTGGCGCACTGGTGCACTTCGAACGGATCCTCGTCCAAGGGGCACACTCCTCTGCCATCACCGCCGTCATCTTCCGTAATGCTGCCCCTGTAACACGACTGGCACAACACGTGAGAGCAGGGAAGCAACACCGTCTTCCTCGGAATCACGTTGCAGAGGCCGCACGAGTGGTAGTACGGCACACCGTCCACGAATCGCGTCGGTCTCCAGTTGACGCCGTGGACGTGATGACGAACGCGGTGCAAGGGCGGTTCCCCGTCGGCCATCGGTGTTTCCTCGCAGCCGAGTCAGTGTTGTCTTGAAACCACACGAGAAGTGGGGTTGATGACCTTGTCAGAAGTGAAAGCAGCCAATCTAAGCTAATCTGCCCTCGCCTAACCGAACCTTATGCGACTTTACAGGCTTTTGCGCCAAGAGGTCGCAACGTCTGTGCATATGCTATGAACGTATGGCAGCCGACGACGTGTGCGACTACGGGCGCTAGTGTTTCCTTATTTCAGCTTCCACAGCAACGGCCTGTAAACAATAAAAAAACAACGGTCTGACTTGTTCTCCGCTCACTTCTGCTTTCACGACCTCACTCGAGCAACATTAACTGAATTTGCGCGTCAGTGTCCGTTGGCTCTCAACGCCCTTGCCGCAGCAGTGATAAGGAGAGAGGCGAACCACGATAAGATAGCGCTATTAGTCCCATAAAAATATCTCTTCTGGAGCTAAATGCGGTTGAAAGGCGACGTTTTCAGCAGCAGCTGGTCACTCCCAGTTAATGTTCCGTCGCAACAGCAACTTGAAAGCAAGATAGGTCCGTAGCAGTTGTCAACTCACTTCCACATCCACACTTTCACTCGTCGAACCTCAAACTCAGTTGACTTTGCCGCTGGCTCTCCATTGCCGGTACTGCAGCTGCGCATGAAACGAGAAGTGGACCGCGATAAGAAAACGCTCGTAGACGATTGCAAACGCTGCAAGCTCACCCGTCTGAAGCCAAAAGCGGCTGCAAAGCGATGTCGGGGAGCTTGTTTTCATTTTGTGCTGTTGTGAATTTGTTTTTCTGTCTGGCCCTGAGACTCCCACGTGGTCGGGAGAGGCCACGCGAGTGAAAAATAAATGCGCCGAGGGGCGCGCCGGTGGGTTGGTACGATGTCAACAAACCCGTTCCGATGGTGCGGGGGAAATACCGAGAGAGGAAAGTAGAGGCTCGCCACGTTCGTGTGGGGTCTGGTTGTGAGTCAGACGGAGGTTGCACCGGCAGTAGTGAAACCTGAATGTTTACGGACGCGCCTCTGAACCGTTCGAAGCTGCGGAAACACCGAGCATTCTTGTTTTCACCATTCGTATCCTCTTGAGCCTTAACTAGCGTGGGGCGTTATATTTCAGAAAGATGAGCAAGAGCAACGGAAGAAGTTAATTACAGAAGAAAGATACATGTGACCTGAGGCAGTAGAAAAGTCGAGGCGTTTCTCTTTGTCTCCTTTCGTTTTGTCAGCTTTTTACCTGCTTTATCTATACTCAACGGTTTTGATCCCCGCCTTCACTCAACAATGAAGATATAGAAACATACACGTTCCCCCACCTATGCGGATTGAATCGTCAGTGAACAACTGACACGATTAGTGTACTGATGAATTCACCCGAATAAGTGGCGAAACGTCAATGTTTTGTTATTTTTAACGTTGAGTAATGCCACTAACCAAAAACATTCAACAAGAATGAACCTGGCTTTGGAAACATTTTTTGTTTATCTATTACACACACATCGTGCAAGCTAGACCAATAATTATGAGAACAGACTGCAAAAGCTGACCAGGTCATCTATGAATTTGCCGGAGTCAACTCGAATGCAAAAGCCGCTTTCGCTTTCTTTTTTTCTCGATTTATTCATCCTTCCTGCCTCGCTTCCCCGTGATATCTTTCTGCACCAAATGTAGTTCCGAACGACCTTCGTCATCGACTCGCATTCGACAAAACGACGATGTCATGCAACGTACGTCACGATGGGGTCACAAATTTTGGGTATCTGGGATGTCATGGTAACGTCATCGTGTTGATATCTCACACTAATCACGCTGACCACAGTGACATCAACGGTCAAGTTTGACAATGGATTTTAGGCTTTAGACTGAATAAATGCTGACAATCTAAAAAAAAAGGGGGGGGGAGTGATTCCTTAATGAGAAAAAGAAGATAAAAGTGAGTCCCGTAACTGTCTGCATCTGTGTGCGACACCTCAGCAGTGGCTCACGAGGGATGGGGGTAAGGAGGGATTCAAAGAGATAGGGATGAGGACACCCACATGCAGAAATAATGGTAAGATAGAGAAAGATGGGGACACGGTTGAAGGAGTCCGAGGACGGGGTAACACTCAGCAAGCTAGAGCTTCACGGCGTCAGGAGATGGAGGAGTGCGAGCTGATCGGCCAGACCTGTCTCGAAAGCAGCCTATCTGCATTCCGATTAGTTCTTAGAAAGTTAGGTTGCAGCTATGGCTACTTTGTGCCGATTTGGCCACTTTTATAAACCCAAAAGGGGGGAAGGGGCAGTAAAAAGTACGCGGCTATTTGGTAAATCTTTTGTCAGTTTCACGTTTTCTCAATTGTCACCGATTTAGCACTATCTCGTGATGCCGCAGGCCCTGGGATTCTAGTATGTGGCATGCATACACGGATACCAATGATTCTTTCCACCTGCCAAAGCCTAATTATGCGGTTACACGACACAAAAGGCAATACATTTGGATTTGGGGAAAAACTATCGAATGAAACCTCATTTCGCTGACCACCTGCAGCTGAACGCTACCTTAAATTGTAATTGGAATGAAACAGAACGAACGAAAGAGCACCGTTTGCTGAATGCTCTCCACTCGTCGACATTAGAAATAGGATGTCACCGTCACGGTCACCCTGCGGACTTACAAGAGTAGATAATAGGACTTTCCCATAATCCTTGTTGAACCTAATGCATGGGTGTACCTTTTTATTTATGTGTGATGAACTCGTGTCTTCTTTATGTATGTTTGTTATGCCAAAGGGCAATCTTTCGAATAAAAAAAAAATGAATGTCTGACTATCTCCTTGTGTCCTTCCTCATGATTAGGCGTGGACTCTGGTTCGAGAATAAAAATCACTCATAATTTTTTCCCCAAGTGCCCACTGTCTCTTTGACGGGCAATAATTTTTCTCTTATTGAACAACAAGGGCTGGTTTGAGACTATCTTCTGCTGGCCAGAAAGAATAGCTTATAGTCAAACGCCTTTGCTTTATATTCAGAGCTGATTGCTGTTAAAACGAAAAACAATACATTCAGAAAAAGTTTTTTTTTTTTTCAGAAACAACATCATGAAGACGTCCTACGAAATTCTAAATGCTCCACTGCGTCTCTATTTTCTTTCTAACTGTTTTTGATGCAGCCAATCACCACCAGTTTTTTTTATGCGAGATTTTTATCAAAATGGCCGGGTCATTAGCGCCACTCCGAACGTCTCTACCATTTAGAACACGAGTTATGTGAAACGCCCAGGGCTTTACATGCAATTAAATCCAAGGAATAAAAAACATTACTTACCGCAACTGGCTGATACCAAAGATATGTGGCTTGCTATCATGCGGAGCCCATACGGGTATTTTTGTGCCGCTTTTAATTTATATCAAATGAGTTCTGCAAAATTTGTAATAATCCGCTTAGGGAGACCATATATATATATATATATATATATATATATATATATATATATATATATATATATATATATATATATATATAAGGTAAACAAGTGTATAGTTAAGGCCTCGTTTTTTCGTGCTTTAACACAACATTATTGAGATCTAACAGACAACACTGCCAAGGAAAGTGTAAGGTAAGCTATCAGACTGAATTGTATTGCAAATTTGAAGAACGAAAAGTGGTTGAAAAGAGGTGATTCCGCGAGAGATCGACACGGGTTCAAAAGTTAATATTTTAGATTTCATTATTTCATTGAGTATTTCATATTTCGTGCACCTCTCACCAGGTAGCTCGAAAGTCAACTTCGTTTTATGATTAACGGCATAACTTACGAGAAAAAAAAATATCAAACTTCACCAACACGCAGGCACCAATTTCGTCACTTGTCATTTTCGAAAATTGCAGATGCTATAAAAAGACAAATATTTTTTGTTTCAAGGAAGATATTTTTTACCTGAAATGCACATCTAATGAAGAATGCATTCATACGGTTTTAAGTTTGTAGACCTTAGGAAAGTAGCTTTTAAAAATGTCTAATTTTGCGACAGTTTAAAATAAGTTACGAATTCCCCATTTTTTTCTCCAAAATAATGCAAGTAGCGTTTTCAAACCTGACACGTTTTAAGGATATAGTGTGTTCATTAGGTACGTAAATTATTGCTGCCGTAGGGCAAATGTAAATTTTTATATATTGCCTCAAAGTTCTCATATTGGCAAAAGTGTACTCCACTGAAATTCGAATAATAAAAAACCCCCATCTTCGATTTTTCTTAAAATCTCGTAAATAGACAACCGAAGGCCATCATACAGAAATATAGAAAAAACATGTTGCATTATTTTGTTTTTAGCGACAATATTTGTGGTACAAATCAGAGCTTTTCGAGAATGCGCTGATAAGTTGAGAAATCTAGAAATCGGAACGGAAACGCGGCAATAAGCTTCAAACGTGTGTAAAACGTGACCGCATTTGGTGAAGAAAGGCTGTTTTAGCAGATAGGAGTAACTATTTTGAACACGATATTCTACAGTAGCTGAATTCACTCTTATACGTAGAGCACTGAGACTTCTAATATGTGGTGCCTCTTCATTACTGACACACAGATGGGGAGCTGCTGTGACGGCCATGTGTTTGCAACTCGTTGGGTAAGAGAATGGAATGTTGAATGAGTTCATAAACGATTCATAACAAATTTTTATCATTTGGGGCACGAAGACTGCCGCATCAGACTGAAGAACACGCTTTAGGGCAAGTTGTCATCCGTCGTCTGCTCTACAGATGAATTGCTGTGCGCCGCATCTCGGAGGCAATGCTTTAGATCATATGGTTCAAAGTAGGGACAAAGATTACGCCTCCCGTTATTTTATCGACAAAAACATTATGAAATTCATTTTAACGTACTGTACTACAGTTTTGCATTCGCACTGTGGATACTAAATTGAAACGAAAACTCGCAAGTCCGATTCACCGCATTCATCTTATGTGTGGCGTACACCAGACGTTACGCACATATCATCGGTCACAGTGACACCAGTCCTAATTGTGAACACTGTGATGTGTCAGAAATAGTTGAGCACATATTTTGTGACTGCCCAGCATACGCACGTGAATGACAAACACTCATTTCTTCTACTGAATGATATCGCAGTAGGTCATTGACTAATGAGACCGTGTTGGGCCCTTGGTCAGACACCAACAGTGTAACTGTGGTCACAATAGCGGTTATAACCTTTTTGGAAGCAACTGGACCATATGCGCAGGTATAAAATTTTTCTCAGCAAGAAAGAATTCTACGTACTCACCTCACTATCTCACCCTCGTCATCCATTGGTCCTTCTCCCCATCCCCCCGTGTAGAGTAGCAGGCTAGAGCAAGCTATCAGTCAGACCGACCTCTCTGCCTTTCTGTAAATAAACCTGTCTCTCTCTCTGTTTGTCTCTCTCTCAATACATTCACAGCCAGCTTAAATAGCTTCACTGTAAAAAAGAGAAATTGAAAACATGGGCACAGCACAGCGAAGTCACCGGCGTTTGTGGTTACACAATGTGTTGACATTGTTAAAACTTTTAAGAATAGAGTTTTAGTGAAAATTTTGAATATCCGTTGACGTTGAACTAGCCAGGTGGCTCGGGGTCTCCCCTGCGTCTTCTTGGACCCAAGTAGAGTACACTCAACCTCATCATCAACATTATCATCATCATTACCATCACCATCATCATCGCAG